CTGGCCGTGCCCGCTGTCCACCATGAAGGACAGCGGAGACTCCAAGCACCAACTCATGGTAAGCGCCCTCCCTGCCTCCTTGAGGGGTCCCCCCCCACCCCGAGGACCCTGGGGTCAGGGCCCAGCCGGCCCAGCACGACTTTCGCCAAGTCTTGGGCGTTGGGTAGGAGCCATTATACTCATCGCCCTGAAGGCTGAAAAGTTAGCCCCTGCACACCATCCCACCAGGACCCCCCACCCCCAACCCCCAAGCCTGTGCGCAGAGGTCTTGTCCTGGCCCAGAAAGGCCAGCGTGGGCTTCACCTACTGCCGGGAGAAGAAGGGTGGGCCTGTAAGCCACCTCCATTTCCTGGTGAGCCAGAAGGCCGTCCCCCTGGTGGGAGGCGGTGGTGGGGGTGGTCACAGGAGGGCAGTCAGGAGTGCCAGGTGTCTGGGGCGCCCCCTCCCCCACCCCACAGGGTGGGGAGTGGCTGTGGGCACCCTAACTGTGCAGAGGAGGGGAGCAGACCGAGGTATCCCCAGGGCTAGGGTCTGAGATGGGCTCTGGAGCCGGGGCAGGGTGGGGACTGGGGGGCTGCAGGTTGGCACGGAGGTGGAGGTCCTCGCTGCAGGTCAGAGGTGATAAGGGGGAGAATCAGATTCCAAGGCGCCCCACACAGAAGTATGGGTGTGTGTGTGGGGGGTGGGGGGGGTGCTGTCTCCCTCTCCGCTCCCGCCCCACCCCCTAAGTCAGAGGTGCAGATGGGCCTGTGATGCCCAGCAGGTGGGTGGTCCTGTGACGGAGGATAACATGGATAGCATTACCTGCAGAGCCCCTCACAGGGTCCTCGGAGCCTGGGGTCCGGAATGTCCACTCTGGCAGTTTAGAATGTGCCTGAGTGACAGTAGGGTACTCCGTGGGCAGGGCCCGAAGGGCTCCCCCTCCTGACCAGGGAGGCAGTCATGGTGGTCTGACACGAGGGTCCTTCAGAGAAGGACGGTCATTACATTACATGGTGTGGGGTCCGTTCAGTTACACCCGCACGCTGGCCAGCAGGTGCTTCTTCCTGACCAGCAGTGGGGCCCTCCACTCTTTGAGGGAGACCCAGGCCCAGGATAGGAGGCCACCTTCTCTCAGAATACAGGGCAGAGGAAGCCCCATCCAAAGACGTAGCCCCAGAGTTGGAAAATGAGACCCCAGGTCCCTAAGATGGCCAGGGGCAGCCCTCAGGCCCCAGCCCCAGGCTGTCTGCCGCCCAGTCCACAGAGGCCAGCCTGACACCTCCCGCTGTGGGACATCCGCCACGGTGCACAGACAGCGCTGTCCTGAGACTCATCACCCAGGGGAGTCTGGGGTTTCAGTTGGGCCTGAGAAGCAGACAGCTCTCTCCCCTGGGGATGTCCCCTGGGTGCAGGCACCTGGAAGCGTCAGCGGCAGCCACAGCCCAGCACCCTCTGCCCTCAGCGCCTCAGCGGTGGCCTTGAATCACTGAGCCCTTTCAGACAAAGAAGCCAAGGGATGGCTAGACAGAGGAGACCCTCGGGGACCCCCTCTCGTGGTGTCCTGGTGCAGGGGCTGACCCTGGGGTCTGGCCTTTGCAGGTGGCGCTGCGGGTCCGGCCCATCAGCGTGGCAGAGCTGGAGGAGGGAGCTACCCTCATCGCCCACAAGGTGGATGAACAGGTACATGGCACCAGACCAGGGTCAGCCTGGGCTGCAGGGGTCCGAGCAGCCCCAGAGCCCCCCCACCACCACCACCACCCCCCCCTGTGAAGGCCCCCCGCGGCTGCTAGCACCGTCCTGCCTCTATTACTGCATGCTTAGTGGTCTTAAGGAAGTCCTGGCCTCTTCTTCCAGGAAACGTTCCTAGATTGACCCAAAGGGTGCTGCGCACCCCCGAGCCTGGGTGAACCCTAAAAAGTCCCATAACTGCCACGTGCCTGACTCTCCCACTTCACGTGTCTGCTCCCCCTGAAGCACGGACTTAGATCCTCTAGCGCTACTCACCTGGAGGGTTGGTGGTTTGAATCTATGCCGAGGTGCTGTGGAAGGAAGGCCTGGAGATCATCCACCACCATCAAGATCACAGCCAAGAACCCCTTAGGGGGCAGTCATGCTCTGTGACACGGGGTGCCATCAAGATCACAGCCAAGAACCCCTTAGGGGGCAGTCATGCTCTGCGACACAGGGTCACCATGGGTTGGGCTGGGTTTTCAGCTAAGCATGCTCAGGCTACAGAGTCCCTGGCTGGCTGGCTGCTCCCTTGGCCCTCACGGCCCCATGATGCGATGGGCAGGGACATTGCCATCCCTTTTACCTACCAAACAATGAAGTGACCAAGTACCATGACCTGCTGGGCACTGGGCTGGGAACTGGGGGAAGAGCCTGTGGCATCCTGGGTGTCCTTACAGCGCATATGGGGAGAGGGGACAATAACCTAAGGGGTGAAAAAACAAACTGTCGAGTAGATTCTGGCTCATAGCAACCCTACAGGACAGGGTAGAGCTGTCCCGGTGGGTTTCTGTGACTAGTTCTTTTTTGAAAACCAATTTTATTGGGAGCTCTTACAGATATTTTAACAGTCCGTAATTCAATTAGATCGAGCATAATTGTACAATTGCTACCACCATCAGTCTCAAAACATTTTCTTTCTTCTTGAACTCTTTGATATCAGCTCCCCTTTATCCCCTCCCCCCACCCTACCTCCCAGGAGCCCTTGTTATTATATTATGTATTGTTGTTATTATATATCTATTTTTTCATATCTTATCCCATCCAGTGTATCCGTCCACCTGCAATTCTGTTATTCATCCCCCTCGAGTGGAGCCCTAGAGTCATCATTGCTGTCAGCCCCTCCTTAGCCCCTTCTCCTCCCGTGCCCTCAGGGAATCAGTACTCCCGTTACTGTTTCTGAAGGGTTCTCTATCTTGGCTTTCATGCATCCAATGATCTTAATCATACAAATGAACATGCGCAGGTCTAACAAGATTAACGAGGCAAAACAAAGACCACAAAGGTAAGAGGAAGAAAAATTAAAGAACTAGAGGATTGTTACATTATATCGGTGCTATACTGCTCCCTGGATTTAGCATCCCTTCCGTGTGGCTCTTCTGTGAGGGGCTGTCCAATTATCTTACAGGTGGGTTTTGGGTCTCCACTTTGTCTATGCCCCTTCACGTCAATTTGATTGCTTGTTTTTTAACTTCTGATACCCGTCCCCATCAACACCTCATGATCACACAGGCTGCTGTGCTTCTTCCATGTGGGCTTTGTTACTTCCCTGCTAGATGGCTGCTTGACCCCAGATGCTATGTCTTTTCATAACCAGGCACCATCAGCTTTCTTTACACATTGGCTATGCACCCATTTTGTCCTCAGTGATCATGTTGGGAAGGTGAGTATCGTACAGTGCCACCTTACTAGAACAAACCATTCTTGTACTGAGGTCAGATTTTAAGTGGAGGCCCAAAGTCCATCTGCTTCCTTGTTGTATTTGCATGTATAGATATACATAGACAAACACACCTATATTTATAGATTTACCTGCATAAATATCGATATTTATACCTAGATATATCATTTTTACTTTCTTCTTCTCTCCTCTTTTTCTTTTTTCTTTCCACCTGGCCCACTACCATGTTTACCCATCATTCACCTCTCAGATACATTTCAATTGATCAGACACAACCAGGAACACTAGACCCTCCTCACCGTCGATTTTAGAACCCTTGTTCTTTCCCTGCCCCTGTCGTTATTGGCTCGCTGCTCACCTCCCCTCATATCCACCCCTCCCATGCCTGCCCTCCCCACTCCCCAACCGTCGCTGTCTCGTTTGGATTGCTTATCATGCCTCTCTTATAGCTAGATAGACGCCTAAAGAAAAGAGAGAGAGAGAGAGAGGGACCGTCCAAACAGTTCCCAGTCTAACTGTTGTCCTGACCCAGTGTAGATGAATATCCCTCTGATAAATAGCGAGCAGGCCCTATTAGCATCCATCAGTCCACCCCCTTTTCTTTCAGGGATCCGTAACCCCGGCATCCCCTTACCTAACAGCACGTGGACCCTGGTGGTCCTTGGCATTCGTGACCGGGAGGCGTGCCTCCTGCAAGTCCCCCTTGCTCTTCCTGCAGTCAGGGATGGATTAGTCTAGTGCCCCCCC